TGTGTGTGTGTGTGTGTGTGTGTGTGTGTGTGTGTGTGTGTGTGTGTGTGTGTGTGTGTGTGTGTGTGTGTGTGTCAGGTCTCTGTCAGCGCTGTCGGCCTATCACAGCGGAGTGTTGACTCCCATGAAGATGCGTTCAGAGTCTCAGAGCACGCTGCGGTTATACAGCGGCAGCCCCACGCGCTCCGACAAAGACACGGTGTCCATCTCCTCCTTCTACTACAAAGAGCGGGTAAATACACACACACACACACACACACACACACACACACACACACACACAGACACAGACACAGACAGACAGACAGACAGACAGACAGACAGACAGACAGACAGACAGACAGACAGACAGACAGACAGACAGACAGACAGACAGACACGCACGCACACACGCACGCACACACACGCACACACAGGTTTGTTTTCGTCAGTTTGTCTCTTTAACTTTCTCTACTTCTGTGTGAACTGAACTGTATGGAAGTTCATTAAAGTCAAAACTAATGATGGGAGGGAAACAACAATTTTATTTATTTAAACTCCCCTGTTAGATATCAATAGTCCTTTAGATGTAATGTATTTAAAATGAAGAAAAGTTATAACTAATGTTTACTTTTATCACAAAAAACGAAATCTTTGTTTAATTTTGCGATCCATTTTTAATTTACATAAATATAAAGATTGCAGCCATTACTTTTTAATCATTAAACATTTAAGTTATTAAATCCTTTTACATTATATCAAACCTTTTTTCTTGATTTTTTTCTGGAGAGGTATAACAGAGGAGTTTAATTTGTTTTCCGTCTTTCTTTTTGTCCGTAATGAGCTTCCATACAAAGACAGACATCACATTCCCAGCAGATACACTGAGGGTAGTTCAGGGGGCCTGGGAATGTGGAGTGCTCCCCTAACGTCTGATGTGGTGTGATTGTACGTCTCCCTGACGGGCCTCTCTTTGTTTTTGTTGTTGTTTTTTTTATTTTATTGTGTTGTTTTATTTCACCTGCCTATCCCCTGCTGTGGGCCACGCCTCCTTCCTATTCTCCTCCAATCAGAAGCTCCCAATCTCTGCCTCCCGCCGCTGGTCTGTCCAAACCCTCCGTGATTGGCCGGTACTGAAACTGTCCCGCCTTCTTTTTCCTCCGTCGCTCTTCTTCTTCAAGCTTTTCTTCGTCTCGGCGTTTATGATTATTTATTTATTTTGCATGTCTCTGATTGGCTGCCGTCCTCAGCCACTAACACCGTGAACTGACCTGCGTTCTGAATTTGAAACAGCAAACCTTTATTATTATTATTATTATACTTTATTCTCAGGGAAAAAGAACGTCAACTGTTTGGTGTGATGGTGAGGCAGTGTGTTGCATCATGGGAGTTGTAGTCTTTTTTGGCTTAAAAGTGAATAAAAAGTAAGTTTATGACAGCCGCCGCCACAGGAGACCAGAGGAAACACACTGTTACTTTTTGATTAAAAGTACACATTCCGGTGAAGCAGTGTGGTGCATCATGGGAGTTGTAGTCTTCAGATTTCTCCTTTTAAGGATTGCTTCAGTGTACAGTTTGTTTTTACGAATAACATAGCATTAGCTGGCAAATCAGATATGTACATTTATACAATTTTAATGAAGAAATTATTCATATATCATACCTTCATCGTATTAAACTTCAAATTCAGAACAGATAACCGACTTCCTGTCTGCTCTAAGCTTTAACGTTCACTAACGTTTAACTACAGCAGGTAAGTTTCTAACTATTTATAGCTTCATTTGAAACATTCTTAGTTAATTTGGCTGTTCAGGCTCTATGAGTTTGTTAGAAACTGAACACTAACCATGTGTTCACACTGCGAGGTTTTTCTATGCAACATTTTGTACCAAATATTACATTTAATCCAAAGTCTAAGAGCACTACTGTCTAAAGTCCTACATAGCCATGGGAGTTATATTTAGAGACATTCCGAGATTAGTCCTAAATGAACGAGAACAAAAAAGAGACTTGTGGAAATTTGTGTTTCGACAAAAATATTTTATGAAATTATGAAAAGACAATTTTCTTATTTCACAATACAACAAATGTCCACGAAAACCAGTGGAATCATTATTGTCTGAGATCAGTTTAAATGTACCAAAACTATTTGGGTTATTTACTGGGAAAATGTTCCTATTATTTATTTTTGTCTCGCAGTGTGAACAGTCATTATTAGTAATTTGCCATCCAGACCACTTTTAATTAAGTGGTTCTGTCTGTCTGTCTGTCTGTCTGTCTGTCTGTCTGTCTGTCTGTCTGTCTGTCTGTCTCTCTGTCTGTCTGTCTGTCTGTCTCTCTGTCTGTCTGTCTGTCTGTCTGTCTGTCTCTCTGTCTGTCTGTCTGTCTGTCTGTCTGTCTGTCTGTCTGTCTGTCTGTCTGTCTGTCTGTCTGTCTGTCTGTCTCTCTGTCTCTCTGTCTCTCTGTCTGTCTGTCTCTCTCTGTCTGTCAGAAATCCCGTCGTTTTAAGACAAAGAGAGAGGGGATGGATTACGGTCAGCGTCCCATCAAGCTGGCGGGGAAAGTGATCATCCAGGAGATCTCGTTCCTGCTGCCCGTCCACAAAGCCCTGGGAGAGAGCTACATGTGAGACACGCTCCCCACAACACGATATAACACGCTTCAACACCCACCAACATTCTAGCACACACTACGACACGTGACGGTACACTAAAAATTGCTTCATCATGCTACAACACGTTCAACATGTTCAACATGTTCAACACTCTAAGACACGCTACCACACATACAAAATGCTGCCACGTGCTACAACCTGTTACAGTATACTCCAAAT